TCAATGAAGAAAGTTGTTGGGTTAAGGTGAATCTGACGTTGCGTGCAAGCAGTCTTTAGTAGTAAAAAAAGAATCTTGTGTAAATGTCCTCTGCCTTCCGTGGTTAAAGTGCAAAGACTAGTGGAATCATTTCTCCATCAACAAGTGCGCGTAGAGTGTACATTGTAAACAAGTTTAAACCTTTTTTTTAATTGCATGCACTATTATGGTGTCTTCACCGATTGTCCCACTTTTAAAATTACAGGTAAAAAAGTATGGAAATTTTGTGGGACAATCGGGAATATGTTTGTGGGACAATTGGGAAGTTTAAATGTGGGACAATCGGGAATTGTTTTGATAGTGATTAATTTGTTTTTATAATATGTATCTTTGAGTTCTTGTAGGTGTTGATTGAGTTGTGTGTATTTTTTTCTCTTTGATGGTCGTACATTCCCGGCTTGGTACTGGATGAGGACCACTTCTTTTGCTGCCTGCTCTTTTTTAAGGTAGATCAGTAGCGTGTATATGTTTGGGTGTGGTACTTGGATCATCTTCTTCAAGCTGCCATCCTTCCAGGTGGTTTGTTGTCCTTGGTCCTTCTGTTTTGGTAATGGTTCCATACCAGCCTGTTGCTTTCAACCAAGTATGTTATGACGTAGTCTGCATGTGGTACCAGAAGAAGAACTTCTGACCTGCGTATAAGTTGATAAATGTCTGGTTCTCATTTATAGTTGGTGACGAGTCCTGTTGACTGGACTTTACGCCAAATACACTGGGTATAGCGGTAAAACAACCTTAAATCGTCATTCCTGGAAAGGTAGACCTGGTAGAATTCTAAACTAAACACCAGCTTCGAAATCAATGAAGAAAGTCGGGTTCAGGTAAATGTGACGTTGGGTGCAAGCAGTCTTCAGTAGTGAAAAGAATCTTGTGTAAATGTCCTCTGACTTCCCAGGTAAAAGTGCAAAGAATATTGGAAACGTCTCTCCATCAACAATTGCGTGTATAGAGTGTAGAATGTAAATGAGTTTATACTTTTTTTTAAATTGCATGCATTATTTCTAAATATATTTCAAAACTTTAGAAAAAAAGTTAATAATTAAAATTACGATATTGATATTTGTTTTTTTTTTTAATTAAAGGTAATTTCATAACCCAGAAATGTTATATTGTCTAATCAAAAGTGCATAAATCTGATGATTTTCTAAATATCAAATATGATACAAATCATAGTTTATACATTTATAAAATTGATATTAAAAATAATTTGAACATGCAATAATTAATTCTTGTCTATTTAGCAAAATAAACAACAGCTACTTTGTTTATTTAAGACCATTTTAGTTCGTAAAATAATGTGGGACAATCAGAACTCTAAAATTTTAAAAAGTGGGACAATCGGGAATAAACCGGACTGGCAGGTTTCATCTGATCTTGACCTTTATTTCATGGTTCATTGAACCATGGTTAGTTTGTGTGGTTTGGTCTATTTCTTAGGTATTATTAGCAATAGGGTCACTATATTTGGTAAAAGGAATGATTGTACGGTGAACGTGTCTGTCTGGCATATGACCTTGACCTTTATTTCATGGTTCATTGGTCAATGTTAAGTTTTCATAGTTTAGTCAGTTTATCAAATACTATAACAATAGGTCAACTATGTTTGGTGTATGGAATGATTGTAAGGTGTACATGTCTGACTGGCAGGGTTCACCTGTCCTTGACTTCATTCTCATGGATCATTGGTCAATGTTAAGTTTTCATGGCTTTGTCAGTTAATCAGATACTATAAGCAGTAGGTCAACCATATTTGGTTTATGGAAGGATTGTAATGTGTATATCGTGTACATGTCTGTCTGGCAGGGTTCATCTGACCTTGATCTGATTTTTATGGTTTATTGGTCAATACTGTTTGTCCTTTGTCTTCTTCCTTTCGGTCGTGATGTTTTCGAAATTTCTTTTACTTTATGTTTTTTGGCATCTTCTCTTCGTTTATTTTTAATTGAATTTCAATAAATATGGAGTTCAATGATATGCAAGAATAAAATTTGCATTACTAATTTTATATTGTCGGTCAAAAAATGACTCCTTTAGTCTAATTCCACATCTACATGCGGTTATAGAAACATAATATTTAGAAATATCTTTCAACGAAAATGAAAAAGATGAAATGAGTTTCCTAAGATCTGAAAGTTTATTTCAATTAAAAAACATAAAACCTTATACAGTTTAAGAATAAGGGATCAAACATGTTTTAACTTCGAGGTAAGAAGTCTTATAACGAAATTTAGATTTAGCCCGGCCAACAATTATGTTATATCTGCATATTTTTGCCCTCGCAACAGCGGTATTTGAACCCATGCTTCTGTGAAAAGTTGACAAATTCTCCTGCATTGTGCCCGGAACCCTACACCACTCGTCCAACTAGGCTATATACCGTGAAATATAGCTTTCGTTTTCCGAAGGATGTCTTTCTTCGTCGGATATATCTATGGTCGTAATACAGTTCATGATATATGGTAACATATATATACTTTTGATGGGACGATCTTTTCAAACGATTCTCATAGAAACATGAGAAACGTTTGGCGATTGGCTCCCATTTATACATTGCATATCTAGTCATATTAGTTCCAACAAGCGTCAATCTCGAAGTCGACGTCCTCAATCTGCCACTGGGCGTTTAGCAATCAATAATCCTCAATGTGACGTAGCTTTGTATTTTTACATCCAGCACAACCAAAAAGGCACATTTCAGAAATATTCATAGTGAGAGGTCTTGTACAAACGTAGAGTCTTGCATACTCCAAAACATATATTTGATTACGCGTCCCAAAGAAGCCAGGTCAAGCTAGACGACCTATTTATACACCATACGTAGCCAAAAAACGCGGTTTAAACTTAATTTCTACCAATTGAAATAAGATAAAAGTGTGGTACCTCTAACAGACAAACAAGTTCATCCGAAACTTTTTATTAATCAAAAGTGCTAGTACTTTACCTGTTGATACGACACTTCACGCTGCCCTGTAATCTAATATCGGTGACTGTACCTTTCTTGTGAAAGGCATAGAACAAACTGTGCAGAGTTTTAAAGTAGTAAAAAAAAAAGAAACATTTTAGTCTTGCTTAAAACATTAAATAAGCAAAGTGACGTCTATAAATAAAATTACACAACTGAGTGAGAAAGTAGTAACTTTGACATAAAATATAAATAAAAAAAGGCCAGCAAAGCATAAATCTAAAGTAGTTTCATTCACAGGTACGTCTTGTCTCTGAAAAAATGACCTTTATACTTCAATATTAAAGTATATACTAGTAGGTAATTTTTCGCCTGTAAAATCATCATTTGCTTTCAAATGTTTTGGTTTGGACATTCCATTTGACCATTGACTTTCTTTTTTAGTTTGAGCTTTGCCTTTCATCATTGGCTTTCTTTGTTAGTTTGAGCTTTGCCTTTCATCATTGACTTTCTTTGTTAGTTTGAGCTTTGCCTTTCATCACTGGCTTTCCTTGTTAGTTTGAGCTTTGCCTTTCATCATTGAATTTCTTTGTTAGTTTGAGCTTTGCCTTTCATCATTGACTTTCATTGTTAGTTTGAGCTTTGCCTTTCATCATTGGCTTTCCTTGTTAGTTTGAGCTTTGCCTTTCACCATTGACTTTCTTTGTTAGTTTGAGCTTTGCCTTTCATCACTGGCTTTCCTTGTTAGTTTGAGCTTTGCCTTTCATCATTGACTTTCTTTGTTAGTTTGAGCTTTGCCTTTCATCATTGGCTTTCCTTGTTAGTTTGAGCTTTGCCTTTCATCATTGACTTTCCTTGTTAGTTTGAGCTTTGCCTTTCATCATTGACTTTCTTTGTTAGTTTGAGCTTTGCCTTTCATCACTGGCTTTCCTTGTTAGTTTGAGCTTTGCCTTTCATCATTAACTTTCTTTGTTAGTTTGAGCTTTGCCTTTCATCATTGGCTTTCCTTGTTAGTTTGAGCTTTGCCTTTCATCATTGACTTTCCTTGTTAGTTTGAGCTTTGCCTTTCATCATTGACTTTCTTTGTTAGTTTGAGCTTTGCCTTTCATCATTGACTTTCATTGTTAGTTTGAGCTTTGCCTTTCATCACTGGCTTTCCTTGTTAGTTTGAGCTTAGACTTTCTTCGTTGGCTGTCTATGTAAGTTTGAGCTTTGCCTTTCATCATTGACTTTCTTTGTTAGTTTGAGCTTTGCCTTTTATCATTGGCTTTCTTTGTTAGTTTGAGCTTTGCCTTTCATCACTGGCTTTCTTTGTTAGTTTGAGCTTTGCCTTTCGTCATTGACTTTCTTTGTTAGTTTGAGCTTTGCCTTTCATCACTGGCTTTCCTTGTTAGTTTGAACTTTGCCTTTCATCATTGACTTTCATTGTTAGTTTGAGCTTTGCCTTTCATCATTGGCTTTCTTTGTTAGTTTGAGCTTTGCCTTTCATCATTGGTTTCTTTGTTAGTTTGAGCTTTGCCTTTCATCGTTGACTTTCTTTGTTAGTTTGAGCTTTGCCTTTCATCGTTGACTTTCTTTGTTAGTTTGGGCTTTGCCTTTCATTATTGGCTTTCTATGTTAGATTGAGCTTTGCCTTTCATCATTGGCTTTCTATGTTAGATTGAGCTTAGCCTTTCATCATTGGCTTTCTATGTTAGATTGAGCTTTGCCTTTCACCATTGGCTTTCTTTGTTAGTTTGAGCTTTGCCTTTCATCATTGCCTTTCTTTGTTAGTTTGAGCTTGGCCTTTCATCATTGACTTTCTTTGTTAGTTTGAGCTTTGCCTTTCATCATTGGCTTTCTTTGTTAGTTTGAGCTTTGCCTTTCATCCCTGGCTTTCTTTTTAAGTTTGAGTGTTCCTGATGAAGGTAATTCCAGAGTAATAAATTTATAAAGCGTTATTCGCATTAATGATTTTTTGTAATAGAATATAGGGTATATAATAATATGCGTTGGTTTTTTTTCGTTCAGCAGGTTTTCTGTAAAATTCGTTTACAGAGCGTAACGACCGAAAAAGGTTAACCTAAATTTGATAAAACTATCTGGACCTTGCGCACTTGTAACCTTACTTTCCGTTTGAAAAAAAAATATGGAATTTTCATTTCCCTACTTTCAGTTTGAACAAGTTGAGATCCATTCTGATCGAAGAAATGTAAAATAAATATATAGGTAAGATTGACTATCGAATAGAATAAAACAGAATAATGTTATTGAACTTATAAAATGTTCATCGAGGGCCTGAATATTACAAAACATTACAGTACATCAAGTATAGTGAATATAATTGAACAGGAAGAGAGTGTTTAAATACTCACGATTTTGAATAATCGCTATACTTAGAAATAGAAACTACATAATTTAAGAGAAATCCATACAATTTTTGTTTACACCTACCGAATTGAATGGTTAAAGGGCTTTAGGGTACACTTTGAAACTTATAAAGATAAGAAGGGTGTCATTTACACATATACCATTTTTTCTGCTTTCAATTTACCATTTGTCGCAGTTTCTAGGAGCTGCCCCAGTGCGTGCCTAGATAGAAGACAGAGTCTTTCTTATAAAGGGAATACCAGATTATAACAGTAAATACGGTACGCATTAACGCGAACTATACTGCGTCGTCAGCATCAAGCACACAACACCTGTTTCTTATTTATGTAAAAAAGTAAGAACCTTTTGGTAGATCTGGACACGTTTTCAAATTGTGAATCTTATGCCATGAAGATGTTTGAAATGTTTGCTGTAAAAGTGCAATAAAACACATGCAGCATCATCAATAAATGAAGTATGCTTCAGTATAAAGATTGAGTCGAATTGTTGAAATTGCTATGAGAGTTTAAAAAATCAACTCACTAAACGTATTAAAATCGTAAAGAAAAAAGGGAGGACGAGGTCTAGCGATCAAATACCTGTGGCTACGAAAACATAGTATTCAATGCATTATACATATCTTGTAAGCTAAACAAAATTGTTACGAGACATCTATGTATCATACAAATAATAATGATGGTGCCCGATGCGTTTGTTTTTTAACGTCCAGTGACAAGTATTTCATACATGTCAGGACGAGAACATGTTAATGTAATATGAATATAAATCTGCCTTGTGCTAGACCGAATAGCAGAGTAACATCCACAGGAAGACATGTCACTGTACCTGGAGACATTATTCTGTCTCCGACCCGACCAGTCTTTGCTCTTACCCCTAAATTACACGTGCTTAGCGGAAAAGCAGCAACGAGTACTTTTCGAGTACTAGTATTTGTTTTGACCAGCCGGATATAAAACCCACGACATACCTCATTCTAGGCAAGCGCGTTGCCACGAGACCACCAAAGTGGTTGTATGACAAAATAATATATGGGTACAGGGCAACCAAGGGCAATTAGACAGTAACCCAACAACACACACTGACCAAAAAAGACATTAAACACGTTACAGTCATAATCTTACTTTTCGGACGTCACATACTGTAAGCCTGTTATTCATGAACTTATCCTAATTTAAGTTGTTGATTGTGACCGTTGGTTTATATTCACTTGATATGTTTTTTTTTTATTGTGCCACTTAGTGAATGTCTTTGTGATTAATTGATTGATAGGTGTTTAACGCCACTTTCAGCACTATTGTGCTATTTCGTGGCGGTCTGTTTTTATCGGTGGAGGAAACCGGGTGCCCGGAGAGAACCAGCGACCGTCGGTAGGAAAACTGAAAATCCTAGTCAATTAAGATTGGAGTCGAGCGCACCTGCCATGTGCGGGATTCAGCTCACAACCTCAGTGTTGACAGGCTAGTGATACAGTAGTTCGACTACTTTTCTCTTGACTACTTAGACCACTCGGCCACCAAGGCCCCTGAATGTCTTTGTGAAATTTAAACTAATTTGACCACTCAAGAAAGATTGTCATACCATGAAATAAGTGGTTTGGCAGCATGAACAGTGGCGGATCCAAGGGGGGTTCCGAGGGTTGGAACCCCCCTTTTTTTGATGATCAATGCTTTTGAATGGGGACATATGGTTGGAACCCCCTTTTAAAAATGGCTGGATCCGCCCCTGATGAATATAAAAATAAGGAGGTATGGTATGATTGCAATTGAGACAAATATCCACAAAAGTTCAAATGAAGTGGATGTAAGCAATTATGGGCAACCATACGGCCTTCAACAATGAGAAAAACCCATACCGTATAGTCGGCTTTAAAAGGCCCCGACACGAAAAACATGAAACACAAAACAATTTAAATCTATTTAACGCATTATTCCCATGAAAAGTGTGTGTGCTTTGTCATGGAAATGACAGCATTTTCCCCAACTGTTCCATAATAGTTGATACGTTTGATGTTTTTCCTTTTCGTAGTGATTTCGGACTTACAGCAATTTAGGAAATTTAGGATTTTAGGATTTTATACATTATCTAAAATTCATTAAATCATTTCGCATTCGTATACATGTTGTACTAACCAACAGCACCAGTAGATTTAGTTAGTTTATAGATATGTTCTAATGAATGAACAAATGGACATACACAACTATAGGTGAGTTAAAGGGTGTAACTGAGTGGACAGTATCAAATGCAATTCAGGTGTTTGTTTATTGTTACACCTTCTGCAGGAACGAAAAAAAAAATGCCCATCAAAATCCAAAAAAGATTTTAACTTTCTGAAACACAAAATGCATTTAACTTTTATATATCTAGTGGATGCCAGGCCTTAAAACTTTTCCAACTGCACAGGTTAGTCTGTACTGAGAGGAGTTTTTGAGGTGTAAATACAGCCATTTTTTTCCATTTGTTATGGTGAACCTTAAGGTAATGATTATTTTTTACACTCCTGTTATAGTTTTATTTTTAAAATGAAAAAGTAAACTGAATAAAACATGTCTGTCTCATGTATGACAAACACTATTAGCCATTGTTAAATAATGTTAAATTCCAGAAAAATTTTAAATGTATGATAATCCAAACATAAAAAGAGAACCAGTTAATAACGTTAGTCTGCATCTGGAAAAATATAGACAGATTGGACCCATTTTTACATGTTTTATGAATCACATGAAAGTATGTATTAATCACTAGCATGTATGCAAGGAATCACATGTATTTATGTAAGGAATCACATGTATGTATGTTAGGAATCACATGTATATATGTAATGAATCACATGTATGTATATAAGTAATTACATATATCTATGTAAAGAATCACATGTATGTATGTAAGTAATTACATGTATCTATGTAAGGAATCACATGTATGTATGCAAGGAATCACATGTATGTATGAAAGGAATCACATGTATGTATGAAAGGAATCACATATATGTATGTTAGTAATTACATGTATGTATGAAAGGAATCACATGTATGTATGTAAGGAATCACATGTATCTATGTAAGGAATCACATGTATGTATGTAAGTAATCACATGTATGTATGAAAGTAATCACATGTATGTATGAAAGTAATCACATGTATGTATGTAAGGAATCACATGTATGTATGAAAGTAATCACATGTATGTATGTAAGGAATCACATGTATGTATGTATGTATGAAAGTAATCACATGTATGTATGTAAGGAATCACATGTATGTATGTATGTATGTTAGTAATCACTTGCATGTATTTACAGCGTATTGCATTTAGAAACTTTATCATAAAATTCATGAATATTTTAGGTAAAAATGGAAGAAAATATTTTACACTGCATTATGTTTGATCAAGACTGTTTCCTTGATGTTCGAATGATTGCTGCAGACAAAAGACAGAGGCAGTGGAATTTGGAATTCTTACCAGAAGTATCAGATGTTTCTAAATCTGAGACAATATACAACAGACAAGAAACACCATCTGGTACAAATATTGTCACAATAGACTATGAAAATGAAATTCTCAAGTCACTTTGGATTTCAAATACAATCTTACTTGGAAGTACACATGATGGTTTATACTTAGAAAAGGGATTTCCTATACTTTGTTCAGAGGAAGGGTCAGAAGTGAATGAAACAGACTTAGATATTCTTTTTGAATACAGTGGTATTAACATTCAACAAGAGCAAATTAATTCAACAAGTAATATCACTTTATGCATTGAGAAAACAAAGTTCCATGGATATGTAAAACTAAGGATCATTTCACCAGAACTGGTGGGCAGAACATCTCCTGTTTACTTTCCTGCTAAGGCCTTAAAACAAAAGCTGTTCACAGACCTGAAAACATCCAACTTCTTCATCAGCACAAATGTTGATCCAGTGATTGGAGAATCTCCAGCACTTTGTGGTGCTATAGAAGATGAATTAGGAACTCATTATTCAGATTATGTAGTTGCACTGACCATGAATGAATGGCCACAAATGGCAAAATCCTTTATAAACCGAGACAGACATGGATGGCCAAGTCCAGTTCTCATAAAAAATATTGTTGATCAAGGGTGTGGATTTGTTGCAACTGCTCATCCTAGTTGCAAAAATAATGATTTACAATGGCGGATGTCATTTGCAAAATCTGAACAGATTCTAGTGAGGTCCCTTAACCATACACAGGTCAGGGCATATCTGTTTTTTAAATCATTATTTAGGCTGCATTTATCAGAACCTGAGTGTTTGTCCAGCTACATGATGAAAAATGTTTTGTTTTGGACCTTAGAGCTTATCCCACCAGATGTATGGAGCACTGAAAATATTATGTATTGTGTTGAGTCAATAGTTGATATGTTATGTGCTTATCTAAACGAAGCAATCATTCCTAATTTTTTTCTCCCAAATCAAAATCTTATTGATCATATTGAAGAAAAAACAATAAAAAAAGTAGCAGAGAAGGCTAATGATCTTCAAGATAACGTTCTTGCAATGATCATTAGATATGCAGATTCTTCTGACTTCAAGGGCACCTACGAAGTTTCATTAACACTTTTACGTGTAAAACTATTGACAGAACCGGAGGAGGAAAGAGATTCCTTGTTAAGCATGGTATATTTCTCAATGTATCTATACCTCAGACTTCAGGCAAGAAGATATCAGATTAAACTTACCACTCAAACAATTGAGGAATGTTTTAAGGAAAAGCTCAATAGTATACACTGCATTGTACCTCGTAAGGCAGCATGGTATTTGATGAAAGCAATAGAGCTACAACCAGACTTGTCTACATTTAAATTTGATAGTGTATGTAATTTGTGGGAAATAAACTTATCCTGTATGCGTACGAAAATTGTAGATTTCTGGAGGATTCCTTTATATATTGGGACTTTCAAACAAATAGTAGAGGACCAGGAATTCTTTACAAATGAACAGATTGTTTCAATACCTAGTTTTGAAAATTTTCTAGAATGGGTAGATTTGACATGTATATTGGATGGTAGACAAGAGTTCAGATTTGACAATCTGAAGTACCCAATTATACTGGACTAATTTTTCTTGGTAATATTCTTTGACTAGATTTATTAAAATTTCTAATAGTGTAGTTCATATCTGAATAACAAGAGTGCACACGCTGAAATGTCTCGCCTGTTTTACTTAAGATTGAATTCATGTTGAAATATAAATTGAATTAAGGGTCACTGTATGGCCTTCAACAATGAGCAAAACCTATCCCGCATAGTCAGCCATGAAAGATCCTGAAATGATAAATGTAAAACAAATAAAACGAGAAAACTAACGGCCTGATTTATGTACAAAACAATGAATGAAAAACAAATATGATATACAGCATCAAACAGCAACCACTGAATTAAAGGCTCCTGACTTGGGACAGGCACATACAGAAAGTGGCTGGGTAAAACTAGTTTGCTGGAGCAAAACCATCCCCCTAACCTGGGACAATGGTGTAACAGTACAACATAAGAATAAACTATAATAAAATGCTTTGCTGGGCACAGCTTGATACGACCGCAGAGGTCGAACCCTGAACAGTTGAGGCAAGTATGGACACAACATTCAAGCTTGATACAGCACTGAATTTGGATTGTGATTAAATATTTGACACAGCATAGGTTTCTGACACAGAATGAATGTGGTCTAAGAACTTAAATTTTTTTAATTTACCTATTCAAACCATATCATTATTATTTGCTTTTATATATAAATCAGAAATAACCAATTTAAAATGGAATATTTTAAAGAAAAAAAAGGAAAAAAAATTCCCCCCCCCCCAATTTTTTGAACCCCCTTATGTATCATCACCCCCAAACTCAATCCCAGCCTTCCCTTTGTGGTATGGTACCTTGCAGTACTGTTACTGTACAATTTCAGAGAGATCCATACACTCGAACACAAGTTATTGTCTGGAAACTAGAAAAATGCTTGTTTTTTGGCCCCTTTTTGGCCCCAAATTCCTAAACATTTAGGGCAATTACCCCCAAACTCAAACCCAGCTTTCCCTTTGTGATATGGAACCTTGCAGTACAATTTCATAAAGATCCATACACTTACACATAAGTTATTGTCCTGAAACTAGAAAAATGCTTGTTTTTTTGCCCCTTTATGGCCCCTAATTTCCTCAAATTTCTACGGAATTACCCCCAAAATCATTCCCAGCCTTCCCTTTGTGGTATGGTACCTTGCAGTACAATTTCAGAGAGATCCATACACTTGAACACAAGTTATTGTTTGGAAACTAGAAAAATGCTTATTTTTGGCCCCTTTTTGGCCCCTTATTCCTAAACGTTTTGGGCAATTACCCCCAAACTCAATTCCAGCTTTTCCTTTGTGATATGGAACCTTGTAGTACAATTTCAGAAAGATCCATACACTTACACACAAGTTATTGTCATGAAACTAGAAAAATGCTTGTTTTTTGCCCCTTTTTTGGCCCCCATTTCCTAAAATTTTGAGGCAATTACCCCCAAAATCACACCCAGCATTCCCTTTGTGATATAGAACCTTGTGGTACATTGTCAGAGATATCCATACACTAACACACAAGTTATGTCTGGAAGTTACAAAAATGCTTATTTTTGGCCCCTAATTCCTTAACTGTTGGTACCATAACCCCCAAAATCAATCCCAACCTTCCTTTTGTGGTATTGAACCTTATGATAAAATTTCATAGAGATCCATTCACTTAAACTAAAGTTATTGTGCGAAAACCAATGTGTCTTCGGACGATGATGACGCCGACGACGACAATGCCAACGTCATACCAATATACGACCGCAAATTTTTTTTGCAGTCGTATAAAAATTAGTTGAAAAGGGCTTAACTTATCAGATTGATACAAAGCAGAAAACATCTAACAAAAACAGACGAACGTGGCAGGAAATTTATACATCCCCACAACAAAAAAGACACTAAGTACAGATCTTAAAGTACTCACAGTTACTGACAGCTAGTTCAAAGCCAATAACAACCAAATAAAAATATCATGAATCTAAGACTACAAGACTGAAAGTCTGTAATAAGAAGGTTTTACTAAGAGTATCACATTAACTAAACATTAATCAATGATTCATCAAAATGAAGATGAACCATGCCAGACCGACATGTACACCTAACAATCATTCCATACACCAAATAAAGTTGACCTATAGTTTAAAGTAACTGATTTACTGACATAACCACAAAAACCTATCATTGACCAATGAACTATGAAAATGAGGTCCAGGTCATATGAAACCTGCCAGACAGACATGTATACCTTACAATTATTCCAAACACCAAATATTCTTCACCTATTGCTTATAGTATCTGAGAAATATATCAAACCACAAAATCTTAACACTGACCAATGAACCATGAAAATGAGGTCAAGGTCATATGAAACCTGGCATGTACACCTCACAATCATTCACTACTAAAATATAGTGGCCCTATTGCTTATAGTATCTGAGAAATAGAACCAACCACAAATACTTAATATTGCCCAATGAACCATTAAATTGAGGTCAAGGTCAGATGAAACCTATTAGTGGGACATGTACACCTTACAATCATTCCATACACCAAATATAGTTGACCTACTCCTTATAGTATCTGAGATATGGATTGACCACGTAACTTTAACCTTGATCACTGATCCATGAACTGAGGTCAAGGTCAGGTGAACCCTACCTGAAGGACATATAGACCTTGCAAGGAACCAATATACCAAATCTAGTTAATCCTTATACTCATAACAAGAGTTTTTAACTTTTCCAAAAAAAAAAAAGTAATTTTTTTTCAAAGTCACTGAACCATGAAAATGAGGTCATGGACAATGGACATTTGACAGACAGAAATTTTGTAACATAAGGTATCTGCATACAAGGTAAGAAGTATCCAGGTCCTCTAGCTTCTGAAATATAAAGCTTTATACAAGTAGTTTACACTGTCACCGGATTGTAATCCCTGTCTCGCATTCTGCGAGTTGCAGGCGAGACAAAAACCACTCCTGGCTCAGCTGTTTATGTAGTTCTTCCCTTAATTGTATATTCATTAGTGAAGAAAACAGTCTATACATTAGAATATTGCACATTATTCAAGAAAAGTATCATACATAAATACTATAACATGAAAATTAAAATACAAGACAAAACATTGAAGGAAATTCTTTTTAACATACATGTAAAGAAAAGTCTGCATTTTCTGTAAAAATACCAGGAATAAATGAAACCATCTATGCTCAGGTTAAATAGTATTAAGGGCAATTATCACCATTATTTCTCCCTTTTAGTCTTTGTTAAATTGGCATTTTTCAAAAAACTATGTAGAATAAATTATTATTTCAATTAAAGAAATATTTGGCATAAATAAAGTTTTATCTTGTCAAGTACCACAGTAAAAATTTCATACAACATTTCATTGCATATATAAGATGATAATCATCACCAAAAGTAAACCAGGTTAATGTTTACCCTTTTTCCCTCTTTACAAGTTTTAGTAAAGAGGACACCAAAAGTTTTCAAAATATTTTATTAAAACACCAAATAAACAAGCATTCTGAGAGTATTGCATGGCAATACATAGTCCCCTACTGGGTAAAAATTCATTATACTGGAACAAAAAGCTAACTTGTTCTATAACTTGTCATGGTGTAAACAATAAGAAAATATCAAGTCAATATCTTCAAGCATGACTAAAAACAGTGTGGAAAACTGATTAAATGAGTGAATTTTTCAAGTCCAAGGACCATAACTCTGCACAAAATTATCAGACCTAAACAAAATTTCGAACTTGATCTGTATAACTTGTCATGATAAAACTATATACCAATTATCAATCAATATCTTCAAGCATGATGAAAAAAAGTGTGGAAAAAAAACACTTTAACATTAGATATAATTAATAGTTCTCGAAAATTAGATATGATGTAATACAGTGTATATCTATTTTCAAATTATAATCAAATATAATTAAAAGTTCCAAATATTTTTTCTTTTCTTTTGTCACAAACTAATATAGATTTGTAACTTATCTATAAAATGTCAACAATTTTTATCTACACAATGTAATGTAATACATTGTAATATATACATTAATAAAAATAGATTATTATCTAATTATAGGATTTCACCTCATAATTTTTTTTATATATATATATAGCATTCAGAAAATTAGTTTATACAAAATAACAAACAAATCTGCCAAAAAATTCTTCAAATAATTTACCAAAGAATGTCTTTTAAAAAATGAGTTATCTCCCTTTGTACAGAAATATGGTTTAACATATAGTACTCTAACATTAGATATGGTCCGGAGTTAGGGTCCATAACTCTGGACTAAATCATCAGACTGGAACAAAATTCGAACTTGATCTATAACTTGTCATGGCAAAACTTTATACCAAATATCAAATCAATATCTTCAAGAACGAAGAAAAAAAGTGTGGAAAGCTGATTTGCCGGACTGACGGATGGACAGACAGACGGACAGCGGACAGACGGACGGACGGACAGAGTGCAAACCTAAAGTCCCCTTCGACTTCGTCGGTAGGGGACTAAAAAGAAAGGTGATTTGAAACACCCAAGATAAATGTATATGACTCAGGAAAAATTTTCTCCACTAATTGCAGGGTTTATTTCCTACAACTGTTATATGCAAGGGAATATTTTCTTCTACCCTTTTTAACATGATTGATGAAACCGGACATGACGTACTATGTTTGAGTGATATTACACCTTTATGGTCAATTTACAGCAAATGGAAAACGTCACAGATTTAACATAAAAAATTAAGTATTTTAAAATTCATCAACAAATAATTCAATGCAATTATCCCTATCATCTTCTGATATTATATTGAATGAATATTCTTATAATAAATGCATATTTGTAAAGAAAGCACATACAATATTGTTAAGAAACTTTGTTCCAATTGTCTTAAAATCTTCATTTCTAAATAACAATTTAATAGATTTTTTGGGGGTTACACAATAGATTTCTGTTTAAACGATGTAACATAACAATAGGGTCACTGACTTCCCTTTTGATGTATTAATCATTCTATTAGTATGTTTGAAGTGAAAAATGTTGAAAAACTATGTTTTACATCAGAACAAGTTACACAAGTATGCAAATTTTCATGTTTTGAGACTATTTTTTACATCCACAGTTCCCTTTTGAATGAATAATACACCAAAAGCAAAAGTGAACCTCTGATTATTTTATCATCACAACAGAAATTTATTCGAAAACAGAATATATCTATTTTACAGAAAAATATATGGTGTTATTTTTTTAATATTTAATTAAATTTCAACACGTCCCAGTTGTATGCAAAATTTTACAAAAATTGTGAAAATGCCCTTGACTGTTCCTAAACCTTGACATAAAATGGTTACTTTAAGGAGAATTTTGTTTAGCATTGTTAACTCCAACTTAGATTATTTATTTGTTTATTCCATAACACTCTGAAAATAATGTGCACATGCATTTTCTATATCAATAATACTTTTGAAAAGTAGTATCTTATGACAAGGGAAATAACTCTAATTTTCAAAAAAATTGAAAAGATAATATTATCAATATTCTACCTTAAGATAGAGATGTCATATTGATAGGTCTGCATTGCTTTTAAAAAGCATTGTACAGCTGATTAAAGTCAGGTTTCTTTAAAATTGGCTAAATAGTTGTAAGAAGAGAAGATGCCTTGGAAATTTCTGAAAGAAGCGTCATCCCAAAATTGTCCTTCCATAGTTCAATTTAATGTTAAGTTGCACTAGCTTCATATGATAAAAACTTGTTAGTAAATGTAACCCTTCACTATAAAAAATTCTGAAGAGTACAACTCCATAAAGTCTGATTCAAACAGGCTTTGAAAAAATTTAATGAAGATTTTTAGAGAATGAAGTCATAAGAAAGCTGTTTAGAAATTAACAATGAACAAAAATGACAACACTTAACATGGTCTTATGCATCATATAATCCAAAGAGCAGTTATATATACTTATGTGGCAAGTACAATATCTAAGACTACCCTTGAATAACAGTCTTTGCTAAGGAATGTTTCATTAAATTAGACGACTATGGCCAATCATATGACTTTCCTTGATTGGCCAATCATATAACTTCCCCTGATGGATGTGACAGTTCTTTGATGACAAGATGTAACAACTGATTCTGTTCTGCAGATAACAAGGGCCATAAATCTTTCTGTAGTAATCTTAGTGAAGAAAAATCTCTTGACTGACAAGCCATCTGAAAATAATGGATGGAAATATAATGTTTCTTAGAAAATGACAGATTACAATTCTATTTGGTAAACTTCTTACCACATTGTAAGTAGAACACTTTTACAAATGTACTGTTTGATGACGATCTAAATAAATTGCATTTATTTAGCAGTTTATGCAGTTTTTGTTAGGGTTCGTGTTGCTTAGTCTTTAGTTTTCTATGTTGTGTCTTCTGTACTATTATTTGTCTGTTTGTCTTTTTATTTATGGCCATGGCATTGTCAGTTTGTTTTCGATCTATGAGTTTGACTGTCCCTCTGGTGTCTTTCGTTCCTCTTTTATAGATGGTGTTTTTTGTTTTTTTTATAGTATTCCATTATTTTGTTTTTATTATATAAATATATAATTTTTTTTATGTAAAATTTCAAATTTGAATGCCAAGTTTCTCAGGTGAACAACATAAAATGCAGTTTATCTCATAGAGGGTCACCTATTCATTTAAAAAATGTGTATTATAATTTAGAGATGAAATTTTGAAAACAAATGGAAAATAGTGTCAATTGCTCAAAAAGATAAGTGCCCAAGTTAAACCAATAGTAATATGAAAAATTCAAAGATTCCAAAAATTTTCTGATTTAATTTTTAGTTGCAGGTATTGAAGATATAGAGGTATTGTAGGTTTGTACAGGAAAATTTTAAGACTTTCCGAGTACATTTGTATTTTTTGTGCAGGACATTTGTACAATTAGCAAAATATGAAGTATTTACTTACTACAAGTGACTGTAACATTAGAAACAAATCTTCACTTAGAAACTGTGCTGTAAAATAAGAAACATATATTTATTATCTTAAGGATGTTTGCTCCTCTATTTCAAATAACAAGCTTTTTAAAAGTCTATTATAAATTGATAATTTATAAATAACGGTACTTAAAAAGCAGAAAAAAATTACAGGTGTGAGTCCTTGTTTTTGAGATATAATCATTTGAAAATTTGGCAGGAAAGATTCTTTCTAGACTTTCATACATTTAACATTGGCTCCTTTTCTCTCTCAAAAACTATGAAAAAATAACAAGCATTTTATAAGATTATCAAAAATATAAAAATAAGGAGATGAGGTATAATTGCCAATGAGATAACTATCCACCAAAGTTCAAATAAAGTGGATGTAAGCAATCATAGGCAACTGTACAGTCTTCAACAATGAGAAAAACTCATACCGTACAGTTGGCTATAAAAGGCCTGGACATGAAAATATGAAACATTTCAATAGAGAAAACTAACGGCCTAATTTATAACAAAACAATTTCCAAAAAACAAATATGACAGAAGTGAACCAACGACAAAAAAATCTTTGTATCTATGGAAGAATTTAGTAAAGGTTTTAAGTAATTTGTGGTAACGAAATCCTTGACTATATTATTTACCAGTAATACATAGATTGCGCTCATTGAAATCCAAAACTTCACTACAGACACAGGCATAACGAACGAGTTAGGATATATAAACACCATAAGATGGTGCCAGAGGAACATCAATGTCCAAAAAAGGAAAATTAACAATAGGAAAAGAAAATCATCCCTTTTGTCTTAAATTTTTGTGTAGAGTTTCTGGTGTAAAACTGAATTGTCTAAATCTAGGAAAATAGCCTTTTAAACAATATGTTACAAAATTATAAAAAGAAAAGCAGGGGTTAGCGGGCAAAATTTTTATTGGCACTACATGAATAAAACTAGATAATCTGACAAAAATTCAAAAACAAGAGTAGCAAATATCCTTTTGTAAGCATATAATCTCCTAATTTAAGAAAATATTTTCTTTTTTCAATGTTGAAAGTATATAGTGTGTTATCATGATCAAAATGTTAACACTGCACACTAATATGAGGTTGCTGTACCCCACTTCTCTTTTTGTTCACACTGAAAATTCGTAATGTAAATAAAAGAAAAAAATTGATAAGCTTTCTTTAAAAGATTACTTCCAAAATCATTTGCACCTTGTACATTGAGTATTAACCTGTTATTGTATCATCAGTTGTCTCCCATGCATATTTCTCTAATGTTTGGGCATGCTCAGGTCTGATTCTCTGAGGTGTAGGCTGTAAAGAAAAAAAAAAATAGAAAAATATTTTAATCATAAATCTATCTAAATCATGTATTGTACCCTCCTATCTTTATGTTAATCAAATATCATATATTATGCTTTTGCATGTTTATAGAATCTTACTATCCATTTACTACAATGTGCATCTATCATACATGTATGATTCTAGGCACTATATCAAAATATTGTGAACACTTCATTTCACCTATGTTTCAAGACTAGGTGATTATCTATCTTCCCTGCATCTGTATTACTCTACACAGTTCTCCCTAAAATCCCATAGCACAGCTTTGCGACGTTAAATGTGTGTGAACTGGGCTTATATCTGACGTCATATGTGTGTGACCTGAGCTGATAGCTGACGTCATGTGTGTGACCTGGGCTTAGAGCTGACATCATATGTGTGTGCTGACATCATCCTTTTTTTACCATACTTTGATAAGTTTAACTTAAAGTTATCAAGTCTTTTTCCAGAGCTGTGTTTCTGAGCATTCATACAATACCTGAAGTAACATTAGAAGTAATACTCTGCACACTTCACATCTTGCCAGTATATCACAGTAAGCTCCTATTGGCTTCCCTGTTGTAGATGATCCTATAAAGTATTATAACGACATATTATCTAATAATCACATATGATAAAATCAAAAAGTTTAAAAAGACTACAATTTTAATATTGATATTTCATCTATTTTCATTGGTAAGAGAAATAAGATTGAGTAGAACTGTATAATTTGTGAATGAAACGCTAACCTTACAGTTATAAATTAATTCTGGTTCTTAGCTTTTATTTTGAAAAAGACTAAAATTCGAATTCTAAAAGAATAAATTTATGCTGGTCCTTAGCTCTTTTTTTTTGAAAAAGTCTAAAAAATTCAAATTCTAAAACAATGTAAACCAAAACATATATTAGGCAAGGCTTTTTTAATTTATTGGTTTACTGATCTTCCCACCTTACTTTTCTGATTTTCAGAAGAAAAAAAATTGACGTTTCAAGCTTTCTTTTTATTCCCGCAGACTCCAACAAATACATTATGCCTGATATATAAATAAAAATATCTGCTTAAAAGCATTTTCATGAAATTAAATGCTTTATTTTAGCATGTTAAACATTAACAGAAGTGATAACACATTTTGAACTAAAAAATAAGAATCTAAAAATAATCCGAAATTGTGTTTCTAAAAATAGACAATCATAACTGACCTTGAAATGTTATTTGCTCAAATAATTTTGCGGAATGAAACCTATGTTGAAAACACATTACAAAAAGTTTGTTTTCCTTTTTTGTCATAATTCCGTATGAAATTCATCTCATAGACAAACTAAAGTTAGAGAACGGAAACGAAAAATTCAGCAATTTTTATGTTTATAAAGGAACATAACTCAAGAATGGTAAAAGTGTCACCACCAAATTTCGTACTTAATCTGTATTATGTAGTAATAAGCATTGTGTATAAGTTTCATAACATTTGGTTGAGGCAAACTAAAGTTAGAAAACGGAAACAATAAATTTGAACTTGATCTTAGTTATGTGGTAATGAATATTGTGTATAGGTTTCATAATGTTTGGTTGGGGAAAACTTAAGTTACAGAATGGAAACTAAAAATTTTGCAATCTTTCGATTTATAAAGGGGCATAACTCAATGATGGTTAAAGTGACACTACCCAAATTCAACTTGATCTGTGTTTTATCAGTGGATGTCAAAATTAAACATTGCATTGTATAAAGCATTGATTGTAGTTAATTCAACTACAATCATGGACAAAGGAAGATAACTCCAATTTTAAAAATTACTTAATATTTAGAAGAAAATCAAAATTTTGCAATTTTTCCATTTATAAAGGGGCATAACTCTAGAAAGGTTAAAGTGACGCCACCAAAATTCAAACTTGATCTGTGTTTTGTGGTAATAAGCATTGTGTATAAGTTTCATAACATTTGGTTGAGGCAAACTTAAGTTAGAGAACGGAAACTAAATATTTTGCAATTTTTCCATTTATAAAGGAGCATAACTCTAGAACGGTAAAAGTGTCACCACCAAATTTCATACTTAATCTGTATTATGTAGTAATAAGCATTGTGTATAAGTTTCATAACATTTGGTTGAGGCAAACTCAAGTTAGAGAACGGAAACCAATTTCGGGACGTACGTACGTAGGTACAGACGGACAAGGGTAAAACTTAATGCCCCCACCGCTACAGCGGGGGCATAAAAATCTGTAAACCAACAAATCAAAAATCCATGGCCTTAGTGGTATTCTTGGACATCAAATAAGAATTTCAAAGTAGTTACCTCCCCTTTCTTGTGCTAGATATGCCATTTCAGTAAAAACACCAAGTGCTCCATCATAATCTCCTAAAATAAAAACCATACATATCAGTTAAGAAATGGGAAAGCTGAGAATGAACAAGATATTTTAAACATCAAATAGAGAGATAAACCTTTACCGGTATTAGAAATAAGAGTGTATGACTGATGCATTATCATGGTTAAATATTCATGTATTTTCCCCCAAATATCAGCAGTTATTGCAAATCAAATATGAATAAAAGAAGACATCTAGATGCTATATTTTTTTTTATGGCTGTGTGCTCTAATATAAAATAAACTAACTTACTCATTTCTATTTTGCAAGTGGCTACCAACCCCAGTGACTGAAGACATTCTAATGGACTCTGAAAAACACGAGGCCATAGCATTTTATCTAATCAAGTTTGTTTAATTTGGATAGAAATTGTAACACAGTTTCTTTAAGATAGGCACCAAAGCATGAAATTTCACATAGAACCATTTTGTAATTTGTTTGCATAAAAATGCATTTTATCTGTGGGTCTAATGGTCTATTCGGTCAACTATGATCAACTGGATTCAACCTTTTCAGATTATAAATTCTATTGAATGATCATCATCTGAAATTTTCTCTAAAAATGGATTAAATATTTAAAACCTAAATAGGCTTGTAAGCAAGAGCAGCTTATGAGCTCTCATTTAGAGGATTATTTAACACTGAGGTGATCAAAATTAATGTAGATCCAAATATTTTACTATTCACACCACATAATTTATAAGAGTTCTATATATTCAGCAGTGAGTGCCTGTAAATGTTTATTTGAAAATTTCTGAACTAAATTTTTTGAATTTGTGATTTGCTGGAAACATTCCTATCTTTAAAAACATCTAATGGTCATTTGATCAAGTGGTCTCATTTAATCAAGCAGTGTCGCAGAAACAAATATTGTTTTTCCTAAATATGTTTGTAGCAGGCTAAATATAAAACATAGAGGCCAGTGCACACATTTTTAGTTAAGATTATATTGGTTACTTTTTATATTCAACCAAAATTAGGTGGTCAAAATAGAGAAGTATAGATTCATCTTGTCTAAAGAAAACACTGACTAATATAATTACTGAATCATATTTATTTTCGCCTTCTTTTTAAATAGAATAAATGGGGAATGTGTCCATGGGACACAGATGATACCCCCGCTTGCATATAACATTATAAAGGGACATAACACAAGAACAGTAACAGTGACACTACCCAAATTTGTACTTGATCTGAGTTTTGTGGTAATAAGCATAGTTTATAAGTTGCATAAAATTTGGTTGAGGCAAACTTAAGTTATAGAACGGAAACGAAAAATTCAGCAATTTTTTCATTTGTAAAGGGGAATAACTCTAGAACGGTAAAAGTGACGTCTCTAAAAGTCAAACTTGATCTGTGTTAAGTAGTAATAAGCATTGTGTATAAGTTTCATAACATTTGGTTGAGGCAAACTAAAGTAAGAGAATGGAAACGAAAAATTCAGCAATTATTCCATTTGTAAAGGGGCATAACTCTAGAACGGTAAAAGTGACGTCACCAAAATTCAAACTTGATCTGTGCTTTGTGGTAATAAGCATTGTGTATAAGATTCATAACATTTAGTTGAGGCAAACTAAAGTTAGAGAACGGAAAACAATTTTGGGAAGTACGGAAGTACAGACGGACAAGGGTAAAATTTAATGGGCATAAAAAAATAACATGCAATGCAAGAAAAATTTATAGAAATTCCTATTTCATCAACTTCATAAATTTTAACACATGCAAAACAGAAAGTTAAACACATGCATTTAACCACCCAAGCCTATAAGCTTGTATAGTGTATAAATATCTTAATCAATGGTGCAAAGTGGTTGAATCTGTTTCTCTAATGATTTAATGGAAAATGCTGAGTCAACATTTTTAACAGATATGGCAGGAAATCACATGAAACAAATCAACATGTGCTTTTTCAAAATTTATCAAACTGGTCAGAAATGGTATAAAAGCATACATAAAAAACAATTATTAATAGCTAACTGGAATCAAATTCAATAAACATCAAAATTTAAACTATATTTCTCTGTTTATAATTAATGCTGCAAAGTTAAAGGAAATGAATAGAGTATGTGAGAGTAATTTAGGTCATCATAACCTTTCTTAAAATAAGTGACTTTATATCTGTTTTTTCCACTGAAAACATAACATGATGTCAACCAGATTATTACATTGTAACTGGCATAAGTATTTGAAGTGCTGTATTTATTTGATAATTTAATTTTCTCAACTTATATGCAGTTAAATTTCTTGCAATCACCACCAATACTATGTCAGGATGAACAGTAAAGCATAAAGGTAAGCAAGCACAAGGAATAAAGGTAAGTAAGCACAAAGAATAATGCTAATATGAAGTAGTGGGATATAGGAACAAGGTCTATACCATTAACTCCTGAAGTAGTGGGACATAGGAACAAGGTCTATACCATAAACTCTAGAATTTTTCAGCTTTTAATCATACTAGACTGTGGAATCACTACTTGAAGGTGATTTTAAATTCCACAACATGCCATTCACACTTTAAAGCAATCTTGTGGAATAGGGTCACACACCTTTAAGACCATAACAGTTTGGTATCAAAATGCACATAATTTCAGATTTTTGTGTGTGCGTATACTTACAAATATACCATAAGTCTTCATCTGATATTAGACAATTATAAAAAGTCAATATCCAATACAAAAAGGTAAAAATGTTATATAACAATCCCTACCTCTCCTCTTATATTACAAAAAAATTATATATTTCTAGTAAAGCTAGAACTTTGAGTGAACTTACCACAGGCTACCCCTTGCACCTCAATGTTATAGTATATTGAAGTTAGTTCATTTGATTATCTCCCCTTTAACATGTTGGACTGGGATTATATTCCTTTAAGAACTTTCTCAGGAAGTGTTCTTCAACTGTGTAAAGTTTCAACAATATCTGTCTAGCCACTTAGGATGAGTAACACTAACAGGAGCACATGGACAGGGTGATTCCTATATACCCCACCATAACTTTGTTTGCAAAGGTATTATAAAATATAAATACTGTAAATTCAGAAATTATTGCAGGGTTTTTATTAATGTGAATGATGCGACTGGGGGAGTATCACAATAATAAGAACTCCCATTCTGATATCAGATACATATATGTGTACGCAGACTTACTCATTGAAGTATAAAATAATGGTCATAATGACCTATTTTTTGTGGTAGGTTACTTTATTCTCCCTGATTCATTATTGTTTTTCACCTAGTATCTGAGATCTTAAGATATTGTTCACAAACAATACCCATTATAAGTATTCAACAAACAGGACATTTAAGAGATAGATGTGAAAATGTATCACACAGTAAAGCATGCTCAAATAAAGCTTTCTCGTTTTTGATATAGATTAGACTGTTGGTTTTCCTGTTTGAATTGTTTTATACTAGTCATTTTGGGGCCCTTTATAGGTTGCTGTTCAGTGTGAGCCAAGGTTCCGTGTTGAAGGCCGTACTTTGACCTATAATTGTTAACTTTTTATACATTGTGACTTGTACAGAGAGTTGTCTCATTGGCACTCATACCACATCTTCTTATTTATATTGATACCAAATCTTAGGAGGCTCTGAGAAAAATATGATGAAATTTTTACATGACTATATGTGTACGAATATATATGTATTCTGTAAACAGGAAGTTGTTAAACAATGAAAATGAAATCCCATCAGACAGTATAGCATGCTCACATGAAGCTACCAAATTTGGGAAGTTCTGATATGTAGTTCCAGAGAAAAATAAATTGCTTCGCCAGGCGCAGCAGGATACGACCGAAGGTCCAACCCTGAACAGTTGGGGCAAAAATGGACACAACATTCGCGCTTGATACAGGTCTGAATTTGGATTGTAATTAAATATTTGACACATAATAGGTTTCTGACACAGAATAACTGTAGTCAAAGAACTTAGAATTGGTTATATGATTTGAATTTATATTCAATTTTTTGCTTTTGAGCAATACACTGTGCCTGAGCGAATTGACCCCCCCCCCCCCCCCACCCCCAAAAAAAAAATAAATAAAAATTAACCCATTTTCTTTTTGCTTTTGTGCAATACACTATGCTGTTGCATATTGACCCCCCCCCCAAAAAAAATAAAAATACCCCTCTCTTTTTTTTCAAAAAAAAAAATATGTGAAGAAATTTTGTTTAATTTTGTTTGAAATCTGAAAAAAAAATGCCCCCCCCCCCCCTTTTTTCCAAAAAAAAAAAATTATTTCCCTCAAGATATGGCCATAATCTCGATTCAAATTACCAATGGAGTTTGCAACCATAATTACCCATTTAAATACATCATAAAAGTCTTAAACAGATAACTTAAAAGCAGTGTAAGGGAGGTAATCCAACATTGTACAACATTGTACAATTTTGTTTTTGGATTACCTCCCTTACACTGCTTTTAAATTGTCCATTAACCAGGAAACCCTTGTTTTTCCCCCTTTTTGGCCCCTAATTCCTATACTGTTAAGACCATAACCCCCAAAATCAATCCCAACCTTCCTTTTGTGGTATTGAACCTTATGGTAAAATTTCATAGAGATACATTCACTTAAACTAAAGTTATTGTGCAAAAACCAATGTGTCTTCAGACAACGACGACGATGCCAACGTCATACCAATATACGATCGCAAAAATTTTTTGCTGTCGTATAATGAGAAAAAAATCTAATGGGAAGGACAGATACACACTACACAGTCATACAGAGGTTAACCAGTATACCCCTCCTATGAAGCAGGATTATAAATATAGATCAGAGTGATCTACTTTTGACTTAGTATCTGAGTTCTGAACTTAGTAGGACTTAATCATATCAATGAGGTATTAAGTATAGGTCAGAGTTACCTACTTTTAATAGCCAATTGCCACACTCCCCTACAAAGTTATATAATTGTTGGACAATTAGTATCTGGCAACATAACTTGGTCTTCAAACTTAATGAAGCTAGTCACATTAAAATCTTTCATTACACTTAATAGTGAAATGAAATATTATCATAACAACACTTAATTTACAATAAGATGAAAATATTTAAAACAAACCTGTGACTGTAATTCTGCAGCCCTTTGAAAGTGTGCCATTGCTTCTCCAGGTCTTTCTAGTTTCTAAAATTAACAATCAAATAAAGGTTCATTTTTCTGACAAATACCAAAAATATCATTCAGGTGATGCTTGATTGAAATTGGCCCAGTTTTTTCAGAAGGAGATTCTAGCCTAAAACTTAAGGCGGCATTACGATTTCCGTTCTGTGCAACACTCAATAAATCCCTTCTGTATCAGGTAAAAGTTTTGATTTCAAGGACTTGCAGTTTACCATAAACTTGCAGTCACTTGCTTGAAACTTAGTACACATGTAAATTATGATGTGAACCTTTTAAAACATGCATATGTTAATTTAAAATTTTGACCCATAGTTCACTGACACTGAAATGTGATAGAGCTAGCAGGCTTGGTGGACAAATTTTTTTTTAATTAATAACACAAGGACAACTGATCAGCATGGATGGCAATGACGGCAATAGGTAAAATAGTTCTAATGCACCAGATCAAATAAAAATGTATATTTTACCAAAAGAGCATTACTAATAGGGGTATTCCTTCTTTAAATATGTTAATTTTTCTCTTGAATCAATAACACCCCTTTAAAACCACTAATGTGAAAGTGGTCTCAATTGTACACTGAATTGTCATACATATTCACATAAAAGTAAGCTAACAATCATAGATGATTATTAGAAGTTAGAATTTTTCTGTACACTGTACGTACATCCTTTTCTATTCTATAATAAACTGTTATCACAGAGATATGTCTCGCCTTTTTGTAATTTTGATAATGCAAATGTTGAAATTAAAATAGCAATACTTTAACATGTAAGTTATGCAAATATTCAAAGTCGATGAACCATGACTGAAGGTTCATGGCTTAACAATCTCCATGAAAATGAGGTGTGCCAATGCTAATACAACTGCATACCAAATACCATTGACTTATTATAAGTTGTTCCCTTTAAACAAACCTAAACACAAACCTTAACTTGTAAACTATGTAAAAGTTTCAAAGTCAATCAACCATGATGGGGGGATGGGGCTATATAATCTCCATGGAAACAATACTTGCAAATGCCATAAATTTGCATACCAAATATCATTGACTTAACATTAGCAGTTCATCTTTAACTGATCTAATCACAAACTAATACATGTAAACTAAGCTAAAATTTCAAAGTCAATAGACCATGACTGAGGGGGCGGGCCATATATTCTCCATGAAAATGAGATGTGCTAATGCTTATACAACTGAATACCACTTAACATTGGCCTACCACTAAAAGTTCCCCTTGAACTGACCTAATCACAAACTAATACATGTAAACTAAGCAAAATTTTCAAAGTCAATAGACCATGACTAAGGGGCGGAGCCAAATAATCTCCATGGAAATGAAATATGCCAATGCTAATACAACTGCATACCAAATATCATTGACCTACCACTAGTGGTTCCCCATAAACTGACCTAATCACAAACTAATACATGTAAACTTAGCAAAAGTTTCAAAGTCAATAGACCATGACTGAGGGGGCAGGGACAAATAATCTCCATGGAAATGAGATGTGCCAATGCTTATACAACTGTATACCAAATATCATTTACCTACCACTTGTGGTTCACCATAAACTAAGACCTAATCACAAACTAATACATTGTTGACGTTGCCGCCGCTGGAAACAGAATACCTATGTCTCGCTTTTTGACTCTGTCATTTATGTACAAAATAATGAACAAAAAAAAAATAAGATATACAGCAACAAACGAAAACCACTAAATTACAGGATCCTGACTTGGGACAGGCACATACAAAATGTGCTTAAATAAATGCAGTATTTAGCTTTCTTTCTCTATTATAATTCAATACATTAGAATGTTATTTTAATTAAGCTGCATGAATAGGATTTTAACTGAAGAATAGATATTTCTGTTTATACTGTAAAAAATGTACATAGATTTGAACATAATCAGTGCTGTCTTGAACTTTTTATTCGAAAAGCTAAACCATCCTTTTGAGGGTATTATAGGTAGAATAACATTTGTTGTTTATATTACCTGTAAAGCATTGCCTAACTCTATACACAACGCTGCTGCTAATGATGGGTTGTTGTTTTCAATGTAAACCTGAAAATGCATAATAAAAGTGAATATTTTACAAAATAATCAAATTTTTATCTACAGAAGTACTACACAAATAAACTTATTCTGCTTAAACCTTACATATACTATATTTCAATCTTATGACAGTGAGTTTTATTTGAAGCGCAAACCGGATTTCCAAAGTACCAACTTTAACCGTGATGTTCTGTTATCAGTACACCATTACACCAACGGGCCCTATAAAGAACTTATTTTCAAAATTTTAACTTATCAAATTTTGAGGGTATGACATATCTGGCATACAGAAAAAATGTTTACATATGTTCGTAAAAGCATTAGACTGACATGTTCTATCTTTGTATTAAGAATTTTAATATAGAGTGAGACTAAAATCATAATTCACATACAAAGTGGTAGTTTCAATGTCAAGAACAGACAAATGGAATATTCATTTAAATGTTTTTGGTCTATAAAAGATCAAAATTTCAGGTCAAAATAAAAAACTTTGAATCCAGCCTCTTTGAAGGGAACCAATCTTTAAAAAAAATAACTACATATAAGTCTTTAACCTCAGCAGTATTTAGAAAATAGATTGTAATAATATGTACAAACCCTGATGGCATGACTATAACAGTTTATGGCAGCTGTTAGGTGTTCCTCAAAACTGGGACACTTTATATCTCTGTTATTCATTTCAGCCTCTAGAAAGGCCCTTGCTGCTTCTGTTAAAGCTTGGGCCTCACCAGCAGCATTAACAAGGGTATGTTCACATCTAAAATTAAAAACACAACAAGAATGACACAAACTTACAGCCCTGTCCTTGAAGATATTTCGATAAGAAGTGAATGTTTAATGTATCATAATACATACATGTATCTAAAATAGCAAATACATACTGTAGATTCATTTATTTTCGTTGGTACCAATTTAAGTGGATTGAGAAAAACTTGCATTTTTGGTAGATATTTGATTTTGTGGTTTTGCCAAAGTCTGCATACATTCTTATAGAAAATATGTAATTCGTTGTACATTTGAATTCGTAGTTCCCGGGTAACCACCAAATCCACGAAAATCTGTATCCAACGAATAATAATGAATCCACAGTAACTCAAAAAGACAAACAGGCTATATATTTTGTATTGTAACTTTTTATCATCAACTAGCAGTTGTTTTATTTTTACCAAATATCAGAGATATTATTCTATGTGTATTTACCACATTGCTTTTTTAAATGTTTATATGAAGAAAAATGATATGCTTTGTTACTATATTAATAGTTTTAAACTTCAATTTATTGTAAAATTTGTGTTTGTAAAATGTGCACCTAATGGAATGCCACATATACTTTTTTCTGTTTTAACTTCGTTACTTAGAAAGTCTAAAATTCGTTTTGAAGAAACATTCATATCATTGCTGATAGAAAACCTTTAAAGAAAAATCTAATTAAGAATATTTTTAAAAATTTTATTTTTAATGCAACAAAATATCACAACATATAATAACATTTAATAAAAGAGTGAACAACTGACGGTATGCCAATCGTTAATTCCTTTTGCAAGTTATTGAATAATTATGAACCAGTAATGTGAAAAACTCATGTTAACTTTTTTATTTGTGTTACAATGCTTTTTTCAGTAGTAAATTTTAAAGATAAATAAGACTACAGTAGATAAATTATATTTGAATTCTTCTTGTAACATAACCAATCTTTAAGAGGCTATTCATTCGGTGATGTACCATCATGATGTAAAGTGAGAAAATTAATAACAGTACACATTCAATGTTTGGCTTTAAAGGACAGTAGATGTTTGAATCTGAACTCCACCACTAATGTGACGATGTCAGGATCCCAGAGACACTTATAAGAGTTGGTAGATAAGATATCAAGATACCGGTAGTTTGTAATTTTTTTGTCTTCCAAAATATTCTTTAAATAAACATAATATCACAACTTATCATCCTTCCCTTCGCCTACATAACCCTGCTCAGTTGCTCCATAAATATCGTATCACGGCTTTGAGACATGAGCAGACTTTATTAGCAACGTCAAAATGTCAGAGGAGAAGTTATCAGCAATGTCACAATGTTTGATGAGACATTATCAAGCTCACTTTCGTCAAGTTTAAAACTGGGTAAGTTGGGGGAAAGACCAGAAATAGAATGTTAAACAGATTATCTAATTTTCTACATATAGATATTGTAAAATATCAGCCGCTCAACACAATGTGAAGCTTTTTCGATCATTCACTGTGCTCACTCTGCAAAAAGGTTCACATTGTGGGTCGCAGCTGATAATTTACAAGATCAGTGTGTAGAAAACATGATAATCTATACTTATCAATCAAAAAGTGTAAAAATGAAGGTTTATGATTTGCAGAATGATAAGAATAACATACCCTTTAGATTATTTATTGTAATAATAAGATATACCTTGCTTGTGCTAAACAGCAAAATCCAGCATACTGAGGACACTCTTGTTGTCGCAGGGATTTTGCTAAAGCACCTACAAATGAAAATACTTCTGATCTAAAAGACTATTAGATATTCAACATCAAGTGAAAAACAGTGGTTAAATATACCACTAATTTCATTTAACTTACATTTATCTGTTTCCAAGATAAACACTTCTTTTTGGGGCATTTGCATTGTAGAGTTTACTTAAATCATTATTGATATGATACATATTTGTACATGCTTTTTAAATCATATTACTACTGATCAAGATTGAACAGGAAAGGGTTGAGATCTCAGAAAACAAGTTTATCTCACTACCTTCAACTTGACATACTGTAAAGACACTGCTCTACAGTTAAGGACTGTATGTTGCCCTTTGAATGTATTTTGAATTGAGTGACATTGGATTGTTGTCTCACTGATGTATATCCCAAATCTTCTATTATTTATATGCAGGAAAACATGTTCTACCTTGTCATATTATTTTGAATTTTAGTTGACCAGTCTTTGTTCTTTATCCTAAATACAATGTCTTCCATAACACCTATTTTTAAGTCTTAGGTTTGAGCAAGCTAGGGATGAAATCAATTCACTCCCAAACTCAATGCAAGCATGAGACCACTAAGGCTCTGTAATATTGCATCTTATAATGTTACTTTAAAATATATTTAAGTTGTTAATGTTTCAATTACAAATACAAATACAAAGTACAAAAAGCCAAAATTACCATACTGTTCTATTCCTTCCGCAATATTTGGTCTCTTCAAGAAACGTCTGCAAAACAAATAACAATAAAAGTTTATAAACCTTTAGTTATCATTGTGCGAAACTAATAAGAAAAGCATCAGTTGAATTTTACTAAAAGTTATGATAATCCTGCTATGTTCATTTCCCTTCTCTGTAGCTGTATATATATGAGACAACAATGACATCCATTCCAATGCATAACTGTAGGTCACGTAGTATCTGAAATTTGACCTTTGACATAAAACATACATAACATCAATGAATGATAATACCAGTTACTCAAATTAACTGCTTCACTGTATCTTTCAACTCACCAGTTCAGAAATTTGCCAGTTTGGCTGATATTCACGAGTCTATGTACAAAGGCCAGAACTCTTAATGGAAAGAAAAGGATTAAACCCATCTTGTTCAGAGGTTAATCAGAACCCTGAATAATTTTCTGCATAGCGAAAATGTCTTGTGGTTTTGTAAAGTTGACACCTTTGTGACCTTTATATATGAAACCCTGATACTTTAAAATTTGTTATTGGGAAAGTAAATCTTTTCATCGTACTTTTAAAATTTTTAATAATAATAACATCTCAATGTGTATGTAAATGTAAGTGCTCTATCTCAAAGATATAGGCGTCAACTTTACAAAACCCCAAGATACTTTTCGCTATGCAGAAAATTCTTCAATGTGAGATTTGCTATAGAAATTATTCAATTTCAATAACTCCATCATTTATAAATTAATCATCTAATCACTGATCATGCTAATGTACTGACACCCACCCTAATAAAAGCATCCTGTCAAGCCTGAAGGATCATAGGTATTCAATGTTTAGACAATAACAAATCAAATATTTACAGACAAAACAACTACTCACAATTCAAATGCTGCAATGACTCCCTGTACAATATTTTATTACCATTACCATATAGACTGACTGACTGACTATGATATTTCTCTAAACTCTTACTTGGGAATTATCAGTATTGAGGAAAGTGTACATATACATGTAGCAGTGCTTCCATTGACCTAGTAGATATTCCACCCTCCATTAGCTGCCATAGTGGAGTACTCCTTACACTTGGAAGAGTAGTGGTCCATTGTGCCAGCTGGTACAGTGGTAATTTTGATTGGGAAATCATGCTCTTCTGTTGCACACATAGTTTTTTGGCTTATGGTTAAGTTGAGAAATTGAGAGACCAGGAAAAGATTGGTTTCACCCTATCAGAACTTGTGTAAGTCTTTGGATGAAGATTGTCAATTCTTAAAATAATGTTGGGAGGATCCAAAGATAACATAAGTGTTGACATCAATTTACTGACTAGTTCAGGGTTCTCATTAAGTCTGTGAGTCCTGGACTCGTGAAAATCTATCTGGACTCATCATTTTCAAAACAAGTGAGTCCAAAGATGCATCCAAATTGTAAAATGCTGTATCAACTGAGCACATATATACATGTATCACCATTTCATAACAAAAGTTTAAAATAATATTAAATTCATGTCATTTCCTTGCTCTAGTTGGTCGTGTGTAATTTCATCTTCTCACTGTTGGACTGCCCATGACGATGGTTAGCGACTTTTCCAGAAAATGAATACATGTAATCTCACTGAAAACACCATTCTCCAAAGGATCAAACTAAAAAACAACCAGATAATCAGAAATGTTGTTAACCAAAAGTTGTTGCCTTTTAAGTAATCATTTGCCCTTTGTAATATTCTCCCTTTAATAAAAAAAAACTTGTTTTGCACAGTAAATTTATATTCCATTTGGGGCATTATATCCCAAACAGGATATTATATATAAATAAGAAGATGTGGTATGAGTGCCAATGAGACAACTCTCCATCCAAGTCACAATGTATAAAAAGTTAACAATTATAGGTCAAAGTACGGTCTTAAACACGGAGCCTTGGCTCACACCAAACAGCAAGCTATAAACTAGTTTAAAGGGCCCCAAAATGACTAGTGTAAAACAATTCAAACAGGAAAACCAACAGTCTAATCTATATAAAAAACAAGAAACGAGAAACACTTATGAACCACACCAACAAACGACAACCACTGAACAACAGGCTCCTGATCAAGACAGGTGCATAACCCATTTTGGAGATTATCCCGAACAAGTCCAAATAATTATGACATCTTGAAAGGATTTTTAATTTTTTGCTACGTCTTATAAGATCTCATAATTAATTGGACTAAAAGGAGAGTCCCAGGATAGTTGTTGTTTCAAAGTGGAGATTGAATAAGTTGTATCATGCATGTCATGTTACTTTTTTCTATGCACATGCCTAGTTTTTTACACAGGCGAATCAAGTATATGAAATGATCTAAATAGATATCTAATGTAAAAAGTCGACCACACTCTTCTAGTTTGTCCCCTTCTTCTTCTTATGATATCCAGTTATCCATCAGATTTTTTATGATTACTAACTGCTGTGCATGCGTAGGATAATTATAAACAAATATTTACAAAAGAATAGTGTCAAAAATAAACAAATACTAACATGACAGGTATGACAGGTGGTTAAAACTATTTACATAACTAGTAAGGTTTACTGTTCTATATTGTAGAGAACAGTAGGTGTCAACTGTTCTCTAAAAATATTTAGAGTGGGGGAAAGTACTACCTTTGGAGGTACTAAATTCCATTGTGTAATAGTAAAAAGAAAAAATGAATATTTGCAACAGTCTTTAAATGTAAGTAGGTGTCTGTAAGTTTGTGGATGAATTTGATGGGTTCTATTGTCTGTTGGTATAAGTAATTTTGATGGGTTCTATTGTCTGTTGGTATAAGTAATTTTGATGGTACTGCGACAATATGGTGAACAATTTTATAGAACATTATGAGTCTAGTTTGAAGTCTGCGTTGTTGTAAGGTAGGCCAGTTTAAAGTATTGAGCATGTCTGTAACGCTACTGGTGTTGTGATAACGATTACAGGCATACCAAGCAGTCCGACGCTGAACCATCTCAAGTTTATTGCATTGTTCAGCAGTATGAGGGTTCCAAACCAAGCAAGCATATTCTAGTTTCAGTCAGACAAGTGCTAGGTACGCCTGAGACTTAATGTTTGTGATGGATGTTTTGAAATTTCTTTTAAGGAAGCCTAGGCTTTTATTTGCAATGATGTTGTTTGTATATTGGGTCCATTTTAAGTCGGATTTAAGTGTTATACCAAGATATTTAGCTGGTGTCAATCGATGACATCGCCCATATGTTGATGTTTTCATGCAGTCGATGTTATTTTCCCAACACTGTACGTTCTCAAGTGACGTTTGTGTATTAAATCAAATTGGACACGGTAAAACAGAATAGCGGAACTAAAGTATCCCATACCTGTCAAATATTGTTTACCGACTACCTTACCTAAAACCAGCACTTTTTATGAACATAGCATTATTCTTACACCAGAAGCAGACAATAATTGAACAAAAGACATATATATATGACTTTCAAAATCCCGTAAATTATTTTGGAAAATAGCCGAATCCCAAAAGGTGCAAGCCGAGGTTGGTGCGTATGGTGGAACTCAGATCTTTATGGAAATGGGGGGAAAGTCAAAGGGATAATATGTTTTTGCCATTTAGATGTTTTCCGCTATCTTACTTCTTTAATTTATTTGTGACATTTCGATATTTGCCCAAAACATCAACATCTTTCTCCATTTTCCCCTTCTTCGCAGGAGAACTGGCGATTTTCGGACCTCTCGGGGGTTTACACATAAAGACTTTTTTGGCGCCAAAATAGAAGAGTACAAGTCAGGTAGTCCCATAAGTGAGCTTGTCCATTCAAGTACAATTTTCATTAAAATTCCGTGCATGTTAATCTAAGACTAAGGTATTGCCTGATATTCAGACAATTTATGTAGACGTATAGTGTAATGTCCTGTTCCTTGTGCATAAATATCAAACTGTAGTGAATATTATACACCAGACACCTATTACATTGTATTATATGTCTCTGATGTCTCTTATCAAACAGTTACACAGCACCCTAAGATTATTTGCAGATGACTTTTTAATATACTAAACAATATCAAACAATGAAGACCTAACATGGGAGACAGACTGGCTCATTTCATTCCATCCAGACAAGGGTGAAGTGCTCAGTCCTTCAGATATGAGATAACTAAGAAAAACCCATTAAAATTTGACTAGATTCTCAACCAACATGTACTGCAAAAAAAAAAACATCCACAAAATATGGTATATCAATACAATCACTTGAAATGGAACAAACATGTCAAAAATATTTCAGCTTCAGCAACACAAAAAGCTATACTTATTAAAGAAACCTAAAGATCAATTCAAAAACAGTAAAAGAACAAGCTTATAAATCACTTGTATGTCCAAAGCTAGAATACAGCAGCTGCGTCAGGTACCCACATACCAAATCACAAACGCACCAACTTGAGATGGGGATCATAGCCAGCAAATCGGGTACAGTAAGCCAGAATCTGGGTGTGTTTGCCCTGATTAACATGTGCCCTAGTACCTAGATGGCCATACTTCGCCCTGGGTCAATTCTCCACCATACCTGTTTGCCCTTGGTTTGTTTGCCTTAATTCTCATTTTATGTTTTTGTCTTGTATAATGGTATAATACCGTATATCAGGTTTTTTTCGTGTGTGTTTAATTTTCGCCTTGTTTGCGGCTGTTACAGAAACGCGAAAATTTGAAACTGCATAAATTTCCCTGGGAATTCCAAGATTTGTTGTTGTTTGAAAGTTTCATATATTATCATTATACTGTTAATTATAGATTCTTTTGCCTTGTTGGACAGATCACAAGAATGCTTAATTAAGATATCTGTTTTCATTACGATTAAATTGGCTAATCATACCTGTCACACCTTTTGACAACACAGCAATCAAGGACATGCTAAAAATTGTTAATTAGCTACGATCTATTGATTGGTTTCAAATAGGTATAAGAAGATGTGGTATAAGTGCCAATGAGACAACTCTCCATCCAAGTCACAATTTGTTAAAAGTAAACCATTATAGGTCAAAGTATTAAACCCGAATATTTTGCATAAAATGTAAAATAAAATAAAAATAGTTCACAATTACACGCATATTTGCATCTGTAATGATCAAAACCTTAAATTTTTGGCATGCCCCCATGTACATAATTTACGTTCCTTGAAAGTTCTGTGAATTATGTGTATTTTCGTTTGTAGTACTCATATAATTTATTTGTACTCCAGTACCTGTTAGTTAATCAAGTTTTTTTAACAATACGATACAGTTATTTTTTTCGCGTGTATTTTCCCATTCAGCGAAAATTATACACAGTGAAAATTTAACCTGCCCATTTTGTCATCAAATCGCGAAAATAAGCCAACGCGAAAAAAAAAACAATATACAGTATATATTATTTGAGTAGAGTATGTAATAGTGTGTTAAATATTTCAATTATTTATGTTGTATTGCTGTATTTTCATCATTAAACCACCAACAGACATCATAATTATACCTAATCAACATTCTATTATCATGATTATTAACAATCAACAGCAATTCGAATTAATTCTAAATGAAAACAAATTTAACAATGAAGCCAATCATTGCTCAAAAATAAATAATTGAATTTGAAATTATTTCCATTTTTTTCATGAATTTTGAGATGTATATTCTTGGATATTTACCAATTAGATATCTGCTTAGGTATACAAGAAACTAAATTCCAGAAATATTAATATATTTTTTTAAATAGGGCAAACGAAGCCAGTGAACAAACCCATTATGAGTTAGCCATAGCTCTGGTAGCTGAAAAAAATATTCATCATCCTCCTGTTTGCACTGCAGCCATTGAAGATCTGACCAAAGTCAACCATATGGGTGGGAGTCCATTTCTAGATTATTTCAAACAGAAAAGCAATTTGTCAGGTCAGGACAAACGATTAATTGACAAATTATACATTAATTCTCCTACAATCTACCAATTGACATATTGTCTAAGCTGAGATAGATCACTTGTGGTATATAAAAGATTAAAATTTTTAGCACTTACAAAATTTTCCACAGTTTAGGGCTTGTTACTGATTTGGGAAATTGTTCCTTATTTGGCAATTCCCCAGGTTGTGATAGAAATAAGATTTTATTTTAACTGGGCTAGTGGGCCTACTCCTTTCTAAATTAACTTGTCCTTCCAGACATTTACTGGCCCTATAATTTTTTTTAGCGATGTTTATGTCTGCCATGTTTGTTATGGAAATTGAAGAGGGGGCCCATATTTCTTTTCAAATCTATTAATTTACCTAATCCATATTAATATGCAAATTTTACTTAAAAATGCAGTATTAACAGTGGCATATCTTGCCCTGCGTCATTACCGAGGCAGGGTAATGCTGAAATGTGTAAGACTTGGCATATTGTTTTTTAACATTAACATGATTACGGATGTGACCATCAGATTTTTTGTGACATGTTATGGAATGCCTTCTATAGGTAGACCATCATGTGATGGTGTCATCCTGGTTTGCCCACATTTAATTGCAGGTTTATAAAAACATAAGGTGTTTTGTTGTTATAACAATTATAGTTTATTTCTGAATTATAGTCATATTTAAGTCTCCCAAACGAAGTTTGGGAAGACTTATTGTTTTTGCTCAGTTATTATTATTATTATTCTTCTTCCTCTTCTTCTTCTCTTCCTCTTCCGCCACTTTTAAATTTGAACTTGTCCGCACCCGTTCTCCAAAACCGCTTGTCAGATTAACTTAGGGTTTCACAATATGTTAGACTAACATGTCTAGTGGTGCAATCAGGGTTTTGTTTGTGCAATAGGGTTTATAAAGGGGTACTTTGAGGGGCGAAAAGAAAGGAGGGTTTTACTATAGAACCCTATGGGATTTTATTTTTTTTAATTTTCAAATGATTATAAATTGAAAACCGTTTGTGATAGACACAATCTTTTTAATTGAAAATGTTCTAAATGATAAAGCACATTAAATGAAATACAGGGTTATCCCCAGGGGTCACCCCCACCCCCTGCCATTTAAGAAAGTTCTAATACCTTGTAAGTGGTCAAGATCCCCACCCCTAAGCCATATATATTCTGGTTTGTCATGCTAAGATGGTTTGAATGATATACAGGGTTAGTCCCCAGGGGTCATCCCGACCCCCTGCCATTTGAGAAAGTTCTAATATCTTGTAAATGGTCGAGATCCCCACCCCTAAACCATATATATTCTAGTTTGTTATTATATAGCAAATCAAATGAAATACAGGGTTAGTCCCCAAGGGTCACCCCCACCCCCTGCCATTTAAGAAAGTTCTTATATCTTGTAAGTGGTCAAGATCCCCGCCCCTAAACCATATATATTCTGGTTTGTCATGTTAAGATGGTTTGAATGATATACAGGGTTAGTCCCCAGGGGTCATCCCAACCCCCTGCCATTTGAGAAAGTTCATATATCTTGTAAATGGTCGAGATCCCCATCCCTAACCCCTATATTTTCTGGTTTGTCATTATAAAGCAAATCAAATGAAATAGAGGGTTAGTCTCCAGGGGTCACCCCACCCCCTGCCATTTAAGAAAGTTCTTATATCTTGTAAGTGGTCAAGATCCCCACCCTAAACTATATATATTCTGGTTTGTCATGCTAAGATGGTTTGAATGATATACAGGGTTAGTCCCCAGGGGTCATCCCGACCCCCTGGCATTTGAGAAAGTTCATATATCTTGTAAATGGTCGAGATCACCACCCTAAATCATATGTATTCTGGTTTGTCATAAAGCAAATCAAATGAAATACAGGGTTAGTCCCCAGGGGTCACCTCCACCCCCTGCCATTTAAGAAAGTTCTTATATATCTTGTAAGTGGTCAAGATCCCCACCCCTAAACCATATATATTCTGGTTTGTCATTCAAAGATTGTTTGAATGTTATACAGGGTTAGTCCCCAGGGGTCACCCCCACCCCTTGCCATTTAAGAAAGTTCTAATATCTTGTAAGTGGTCGAGATCCCCACCCCTAAACCATATATATTCCTGTTCGTCATGTCTTGAACATTTGAATGACATATATGGTCAGTCCCCAGGGGTTCCCCCCACCCCCAATGTTCTAATATCTTGTAAATGGTCGAGATCCCCACCCCTAAACCATATATATTCCTGTTCGTCATGTCTCGAACATTTGAATGAAGTATAGGGTCAGGCCCCAGGGGTTCCCCCCACCCCCAATGTTCTAGTAACTTGTAAATGGTCGAGATCCCCACCCCTAAACCATATATATTCTGGTTTGTCATGCCAAGATGATTTGAATGATATACAGGGTTAGTCCCCAGGCATCACTAATGCATATAACTTTACTGGACCAAATAAATTTTCACTGGACTTTGCCCAATGTCAGGCGACCCTGGGAATTACGAATTATAGGAGCTTCGTTTGGGAGACTTCGTAACAGCATCCTGTTACAATCATTTCTTGTTTAATCTTTATTTTACCTGTAAAATTTTATAAAAGATACTTAATTTTACTATTAAATCAAGGAAAAGTTGCAAAGATATTTTATGAATTTACCAGAAAATTGACAAATATTAAAACAAAAATACAAAAAATGTTTATTAGTTTGACAAATTATTGACATTTGTTTTTAAATTGTTGGTACATTCCGAAACAAAATATGTAAAAAGTAAATAAATGAAACTTGAGAATAAATAAGTGTCATTTAAAATTCTTTTTATTTA